TGTCCCGTGATATCGACTACTCACTTTGTCTGTTTCACTTTGAACAAATGAAGTGTATAGTGATCCTGATTGGATTTGGCCAACTGACACGGTTGAAAAAATAGTTGCGCTGATGGAATGGTACTAGTTGGCGGACTGGTGTCTGTGGTGGGCCAATCGAAAATCACTTCCGCATTCCAAGCCAAGTAAGTTGGTGTGGCATTCACACGAACCGGGATGTGACTTGGAGCGCGGATTGAATGACACAAACGTATCGGGATTGGTTCAATTGACGGGGCGTAGGATGAACTCAACTCAGTGCGTGGATTGATCACATAGACGTTGACGTAAAGTTTCTTTCCGACCGAACTTGATCCGGACGAGGTGATAAATCGAACCAGTTTAGGTGGAAGTTTTATCTGAAAATAATGATAATATTAATAACATTTTATTTCGGTTTAAGGTTTTTAATCTATAAGCCGAGTTTGGAGCTGGGCGACAGAGAGGGATTAGAAGAATTAAGTGTATAGAGATGAAATTCGGTAAAATAACAGCACGACAAACACTTGTTTTTAATCAAACCAGTTACGTTCTCATCAAAGAACCCGGAGCTGTTCAGCCATTTGTTTACGTGTTCTGCAGCTATGTATGGAATCAACTAGTCTGCTGCTGCTGCTGCAGCTACTGCTACTGCGGAAGCTGATCTGAGACGTGGTTAAAAACCAAAGATTTTGCGCGCATGCACAGCGCGAGTATGAACACACCACATTTAGAGTACGTGGGGGTAAACATGGCTTCACACTCACTGTCATCAACGATGAGTTGTGAAATCTTTGTACCGTTAGCTTTTTCATTTCAGCGCTAGCAATGGCTTGAGCTGGTAGTTGCAGGGCTCCTATTTCCACAAGTTTACTACAGGTCATGCGGTTAGTTTCACGTCCTAAAGTGGTATTGATTTTTAACAACTGCGGGTGGGGCAAAGTCATCATCACACCCCCACTCCCACACCCTAAAAAAGTGATAATGCTGTCTGCCCAGTGCATTCTCAAATGCCTACTCCACGTTTTATAAGGTGATAGCTGATACGAGCTTGAAATTCATCATAAGACATAATTCATTATTGGACCTCTCTAAACCTTTCAGACACCCAATAAGTTAGTATGAGATTGGCGAATAAATAAAGAAATACAAGAAGCATATCATTGATGTGGTGTCACTAATATCACCAATCTTAGATACGAGTTTACAAAAGAGAATCACTTTCACTTTGAGGTAAACAGCAACACAAACAAGAGTCATAAATATTGGCTTGCATCATGTATCCGTGATTATTCGGCCGCAAATACACTAGTAGGTTAAACAACTAGAATGAGATGAAGTGAAGGTTGCTAATAGCAACGGGCGACAAATGAACTTAGGGAGTGTATGATCAGCAGCAGGGAGAGGTTGACAGTCAGCAAAGTAAGGCTTGTGTGACAAACCATTCACACAGTTTTGGCTTGTGATTGCGAGTGAGTAGAGATGCTGTATGCTTGATAAATTTGGCGTTCTTCTCGTTGTTTATAAATTGAGTTAATAAATGCGGATATTAAATATGACTTAACATAGCAACGCAGTATTGGGGGTACTCATGTTTGTCATCAAACAACTGTTTTACACACCGAAATTTCTAAAGGCTGGGGGAATGAATAATCTCCAAAGCGTTGAGGTCTCGGAAGGATGGGCATCTGTGAATCCGCATGGAGAACAAAACAGTGTCTTACCCTGGCTCTGGTTGTATTCACGCATTGATATACACTCGATTCAATCAGGCTCAGTCGCAAGTGATCGGTTTCACGGAACACTTGTGGTCGATGAAATTGACCGTCGCTCAGTGGTCTGAGACGTGCCATAGCTGAGCAACGATAGGGTAAATTTTGCTCCGTGTTGACTGCTATACAGTAGACCGGTCTCATACTGTCCGTCAAAGCCGGGTTCCAACGTACCTCCAAAACGTCACTGTACAGGAAGGACAAGCAGACGCAGATGGGAAGTATTAGGAAAAAAGAAAACAAGTACGAGCATTTATTCAGGCTGAATGAGAGATACATTAGAGTATGTGAAAGTTGCCCAGGAAATGGTTTATGGTTTATGCGCTATAAGTGTGCAGATAGGCACGCGGCAGAGCATGTAAAGTGAGTTTTAGTTAAACATTTGATACAAAGGTGGATTGACCTGAGGACCTTCTGCTGTGTGTTCAGCATATGGTAGGTCCAGTTGACTGAAATCGAAAGACCTATCTATTGGCAACTCGCAAAACGTAAAACCGATGAGCATGGAACTGTCGGTTTGGGTAAAACCTCTGCAGCCGCCCTACGATTTCATTGTTTCAGCGTGAAATGATGAGAGATGAAATTAAATGCATTGATTGTCTCTGTTGCTGTCATGTGAAAGTTGATGTATGGTTAGGGTAAAGTATATTAAACCTGTGAAATTCCTCTATCATCCTAACGGCTACCGAATAATAAAGGTCTTGCCGTTTCGATACTATCTAGTAGGATCCAGGTCAGAGAGGCGGTCTGGTGAACAGTGAGCATTGTCTATGAAGAGTGCTTGAGTTTATCAGGGGACCCTTTTTCGAAGTGTACTATTATGATTTAGGATTTGGAAGTAACCGGGGAGTACATGTGTTTGTGGTCTACGTGGATGTGGGTATAACTGGAAGATCCAATTCAATCAAGGTGAACCTACCTAGCACTGAATTTCATAATTTGCTTTTGCTTGTCGTTCGACACTCACCTGAGGAGGCACTCATTCAAATTGGTGCTCAAAAATACCGACTAGAATGCCGGCATTATTCATTCGCCCTTAGAGTCTGCATTGCTTAGAATTCTCCACCACCACACATTGTTTCTGAACCCACAAGTGATTCCTTCAAGCACAAACCAGATTAAACTTTGATAAATCCTAAATTTCAACATCATAGCAGTGCAAGAAACAGGGATAAATTGGTACAATCCTCAACTTTGTATGAACCGTGAATCGATTCATCTGGGCTAACCCCTTTGAGACTAGAAAAGCAAACACTTGTACGTATTTTCCATAAAAAAACTTTGACGTTGACTTTGACTTGAGTTCACCGGTTACAGCTTGAAAAACACCGTAGGGATTAAGAGAAAATACTATCTATGAAAGCAAAATGAAGACCCAAACGGGAAAAAAATGCATAAAATGTGGAGGGCTAAGTTAGGTTGGTATACAGTTAGGGATACATTGGGCCGAGGGCTGCATTGCTTTGAATGAGGGATAGAGGAACAGAGCGGTATTAAGCCGGAGGAAATGCTCAAGTTAGTTGGACTGGGGTATTACTAGTATGATGCTAGGAAACAATCTAGGGTTGATTGGAAGAGCTAAGGAATGTGCATGAAGGTAAAGCTCGAAAGATAGTCAGTTCTAATCGATCAATTTAACAATTATTGAGAACAGATGTCTGCTAAGCTAAAGCTTTGAATACATTCCGAAAAATATTCGGTAAGGCATGCAACTGAACCAGATAGGGAGCTAAAGTAGCACAATATCCGCATCAAAGGAAATCGAAGAACAGAGTCGAATGTAGAAGACTAGCCCTGATTGAGCAGCATCACTCACTCACTTTGTGAGATTTATAAATAGCATTGAAAATGGTTCGATTGATGAGTATTTTGATTTGACTTCTTAGAGAACGCTATATGCGGTTCAGAAACCTTTTGGTAAGTCCGGTAGGAGGAAATCCTTTTGAGTAAATGATGTTCGATGTGATATTATTTAGTTGGAATCACGGTAGTGAAATTTAAAACACCTGTGAATGATGCACGAATACTGGAAACCGTTTACTTTCAGTGCTATCGCCAGTGAGAGAGATCTAGACAGAGTATACACGTGCTCTGCTAATTGGGAACTATCTCTCAATGTTTCGATGTATCGACAACTTGCCGGAGGCCGAGGGGGACAAACTAGGTGAGTACTGAGACCGTTGGATCAGTGTCACCGGAAAACCCTTTTGTCAACCGCCAAATACCTAGATGTAGACATGTCTGCGAACTTCCAACCTAGAATCCAATGTTGAGAGGTGGTTCAATAGGCATCAAAAACTTTTCAACTAAAGAGGGTGATAAACCTACGTAAACTCGAACTTCTGGAATGAACGTCTAAGGTTTACGTAGGACCCAGGTTTGACTACTGTGTACACCTTTGGAGTTCGATCACTGCCCAGGACATGAAAGCACGGGAATCAATGCAGTGCCACTTCACCGAGTAGTTTTTAGGATTAAGTCTACTTTCTTATGATAAAAATCATGAAACACTCCATCTCTTCTCATTGAGAGAAAGCACAGGCAGCGATAAAAACCAGATAGTCTATGAGATTCTAAAGATATTCATGGATGTGCTGGATTCAGGCGTTGATTAAAATAAAGTAACAGATCTGTGAGGACATAAATTGAGTTTATTTAAGATTAGAGCTAGAACCAGACTGAGAGAGAGAGTTGTTTTAAGCAGGCGAAGTGCCAAGACAAGGAAAAAAGTTACTTGATGAAGTGTTTGTTGCCAAGTTGAAAGCAGACTTCAAGCGGAGGCTTGAGATGTTATGGTCAAGGGTATTTGAGGGAGACGACTGAGTTAGTTCAGCCTGGATGCCGGAAATATATGCAATACCGGAACCACCTTACTTCCCTTCTTACTGATCATTCGGTCACTTCTTTTCTCTAATTTGCTGTCAGTCTGATGCTCTTTCGTTCATTATTTCCTCTGCATTCAGGTTTATCAATAACAATGAGGGTTATTGATTATTCTGTTTCAATGAATAGTCTGGCTATTCTACCTCAATATTTAGACTGTCAAACTGCTCTTTGAACCGAGCCCTATTATAGTTCATTTCATTTCGGTTCAGTTTGTACTACCACTAACCATGCACTTTCGTGCGCCGGTTTTGGTTACTGTCCTTTGGCTGCCTATTTGGATGGACATTAGGCGAAAGACAGGAAAGGTTAAAATTAGGATCAAAGAGAAAATTCATAAGTTCAGTGGACTAATGTTGTAGAGAAATTGAGACGCTGCACGAACGTCACTGTTTACGACACTCATCCATATTACTCTGTCTCTAACCATCGGTTACGATCATCCCGAGGTCCCCAGCCAGGGAGCCAAAAGGGACCTATGTGACCGCACATTCTCATTAGGGATTTTATACCCTTGTATCAGGTCTTAGCATGACAACCCTTGGCTTTGCTCCACTCAGTATGTGCCTCAGCGAACATGGATCGCCGTGGTATCCTATTTGATGACATACGTAACACATGCCCCAACCAGCGTAGTCTATGAAGGTCGACCACAAGGTTCAGTGGGTAACCGTGGTTACCCAAAACTCTGCGCCTAANTGCGCCTAACCTCAGCATTGCTCGTCCGGCTACCCCTCTAGATTCGTGCAATGTGGCGTAGATAGTGTTGTTCAAACACCCACAGTCTATCTTTATCCCGTCCCCTAATGACCAGATTTCTTCGCCGTATAACAGAACTGCCGCCGCATACACTCGACCCTTCACAGACAAATGGATGTCATGATGGCGCCACAGATGTCTCAAGTTAGCAAATGCCAACGGAGCCTTCTGTATGCGAGCTGACTACGGAGAGATCACCTATTATGATGATCTCTCTCCGTCGTTTTATAGTCTTGTTGTTGATAAATAAGAACTAGAGTTTTATCTTCTTTCTTTTCATATTTGGTCACGGTACCAGATAATCCACGGAACTCAGCCGTGCAAAAAGTCGAACAGCTACGTACCACTATTGTTATGGTTCCAGAAGGTGGTGCTGGTCGAGGATTGTTCTTTATTGCCAATAAGGTTCAGGACATGACGAAACTGTCATTCATATAAAAAAATATCTCATTTGAAACAATTTTCTGGAATTCGCACAAACACACAAGATAGGTAATGTAGCGGTCTACTAACAGATGCGCATTTTTGTGTTCACCGTATCAAAGAGCCACAATTTGCTTCAACAGCTCTTGTTCATTTTTGGTTGTTGCCAGAAAGCGCTGGTCGCATCTTTTTGCGTACTACTCACGAGGTAGTAGCTTCTCACAATACTATGAACTGACTCGACCTAGCCGTGCATAGTTCATTCAGATCGAGTTATAACAGAGCGTTCCAACATTAAGTAGATATAAGTTTGAATACCCTTTGGATACATTTTCTGTTGGCAGTGGTTCAACACCAGTATGATCAATAATCAATCGATGATGATGAGTGAATGCGGCTCGCCGAGTAAGCACAGGAATACGACCTACTGCATTATCGTAACCTGATAGTGACTGTCCCTGCATGGCATCGGAATCCTCCTGCTCAGCACCTGTTTCCGCATTCTCACCCCTGTACGCTTTATACATATACAGCACAAAAAGATTGAATGAAACAGAAGTTGTACTGCGATAAGTCGTATTCCTCTCACACGAAGTAATGCAAAACAGAATTTATTAACTTTATTTGCATATGTATTATTTTGTTACAAGTAAAGCTTTTGTTGATAACTTGGTAACGAAGGTTCACACATCGTACGCTTTAAACCTTGATGAAAATACACAAAACTTGTATGTGATGCATTATATTACTGAATTGTTATGAGTAGAACAAGAACAAGAACTTACGTTTGTTTCGACTGGACGCATACACTGATACCGGACGACTGGGCTGGTATCGGGTAGCCATCAAACATGTGAGTTGGACTGCTTCGAGTGCTTACGCGGACAAGGAAAGCATCACCTCGCTTGCCAAACAAACGGATATTCATTGTGTCCCTGTAATAATTGATTCGTGAATAATGTACACGGGACTGTTGACTGTTGGATAATGCGGTCTCGTCCGAGGACACGGTGTGATTCGGGGGAGAATTTTCTCCGGGAAACGGTTCAACCCAAATGCTCCCGGCTTTCCAAACAGATTCCTTCCGGTCTACCAAAATAAGTGGAAGACAAAAAAAATAAGCTGACGATGCATTAGGTAGCAAGTTTCAGTGACCAAGAATGGAGGGACGGGGGTTGGACGGGGAATAGTGAAAAGTGTATGAGGGGATTAGGTGAGAATAACTTTGATAATGTTTTGGTAACCGTGACCGCTGCTCTTTATGCGCGCGAACCAACAAACAGGATGAACCAATCGCGTCTTTAACCATCCGTTCCCAGACCAACCAACTGCAGAAATTGCGTTCACTGTTCGGAGTAAACATTGTCAGTTGAATTATGTCATACCAGCCTGAAGCTAACCAATACGCATCCGTTGTCGGATGTACATGTTTTGACCGAAATCGTACAAAAAGCTGACCCTGAACACATTTGTTTCTCCCAAAGCTTAGTGTTGTGAGCCCCATTTACGCGACTGAATATGATATTGCCCCCACATCAGGCCCAACATGTCTATCTATAGGAATATCCACTTATCTCCTTGGTTCTATTTGCCGAATGCTAATAAAATGTACGATTTTTCAGTTGTAAAACAACAAAGGCATAGAAAAAAGTTAAATTTATTCCTTAAAATGAGTCATTGACTTCATACAGATATTGTACTTTTATCTCGTCCATGTTTTATTTACCCTTCTTCATTTTTGAGCACTGGAGGTAGTCGTTTTTGCATGCAGTTCATCAAAAAGTCCGTCCAACACAATCAACCAGTTTCCTCTAATACATATCCTAGCCTAACCATTAACGACCACTGTCAAAGCAACTAACTTATCTCTGTTTCTAACACAGGGAAAAGGTTTCCATTACATGCAACAAGACTCATTCATTAGGAAAAATGAATTTACATGATCAAATTGTTGGTTGCCAGATTTGAAGATTGCATGTCGATTGTGAAAGTTCAGTAGCCCTCTTGGGATTCAAGAAGACGCATGGACGCCGCCTACGCTTCGTACGCGCATGCTCTACCAGCTGAGCAACAAGGCCACACCGATAGCACTGATCTTTTCACATTCGAATTCACCCATCCAACTAACAGTTAGCATGTGGCATCCACAAGTTAGCATGTAAGTTGACTGCCCGGACAGTTTTCCCTTAGA